TACGTCCCAGTTTATGCTACCATCTTGAAACTTTGTGCCAAAATTGTTCCCCCCTTGTCCAGCCCCCCAGTTAACTAACGAGGCCGGGGGAAACAGCTCTCTCTAGTCCGTTATCCCGTCCCCAGTTAGCTAACTATTCTAGAGCACCTCCAGAGTTCCTAAGGCAACCTCTCTCGTTCAACACCTTGTAACCTAGGTATTTGACTACCTAGGTGCTAAGACTACAAGGCGCCGTCACTTGATCAGTTACCCGAAACTCTAGAGAGAACTCTAGAATACAAAATCATTGCCACAAACGTATAAGAGAAAACGAGAGGAAAGAAATGAATAGTGAAGTAATTAGTGAGGGTTTGGGGTGAGAGGTAGGGAGGTGGGAGGAGCGAGGAGGGTCATTAGTTGAAAGTGAGAGTTTAGAGAGGGGTGGAGGGAGAGGTGTAGATAGGTAGAAGGAGAAGAGTAGATAGGTAGAAGTAGAAGAGTAGATAGTAGAAGTAGAAGAGTAGATAGTAGAAGACGAAATGCTGCCACCATCCATTCATGATCATTACATACAAGACAAGGAATGGAACTTGCCTGTATCACAAAATTCTCAAAGGATGTTATCATGAGTTCATTATTAGTATGTTCCCTCTGTACCATGTATCAACTCCAAACATGTACTCATTTATATCATGAACCCAGTAACCACAGAGGCTTTCTCAAATCCTCAACTCAAAGCTCTAGGGAACAAAGTTAAACACAATTTAAATAATAAATTCATAATTATATTTCACATGAAGTATCATAATTTAGCAATTCAATTAAAATGTTCCAGTTTAATATGCAAAGTGAGTCATCATCCAAGAATTCGAGAACCCTACAACTTGACTGCCCCTGATCATCACACAACATATGTAAACACGACCAAGTCACCTAAATGTTCACTCACCGAGGACTGAGTCTAAGTTGAATAGAGAGGGGGGGGGGGGTCTGCAATTTTCAGGCAGCGTCACCCCCCGTCTGGTGACGGCCTATCTCGACGGCTGGCCTCTGCTCTGCTCCGCTGGCCGGTCTCCTATTCCTTTCTGCTCGATAGCTCTCCGAGTTTATATTGGGGAACCTAGTAGCTAACTCCGCCCATAAGTAGATAGCCTCCGGCACTCTACCAAGCCACTCCTTAAACGTCGGCATGTTTGAAGGCTACCCGGCTCCAATTAAGAGCTTAGCGGAAGCAAGGTGAAATTCTCATGATCTGACCTCAGGTCACTTGGGGTCGTTAACGGTTAGAGGTGTGAGATCTCAGGCAGACAACTGGCGCCTCTCCGATCCTTGTCTGTGACTCATGTACTCTATGTATGTATTAACCTAAACCAAACACTTTTACAGTGTTACATCTCCCCTTCTCCCCGAAAATAAAGTTTTTGCAACACTGCTAAAGCAAGCTAGCTGTGTGCGACAACTTTATTAACGAAAAGAATACATCCTAGCTAAACAAATATACATCATCCTACTCTAAAAAATGAAATATGTAGACAGACGTCCATTGTCTCTGGCTGGGCGACGTCACTGCTTGGTCTTGTAGATAATCCTGTACCACATTTCTTCAACACAACTGCCTCCGTCGCTTCTCCGTCGTTAACGCACAACAACCCTTGGTCAACCCGAAAGCCGTTACTACTTGAACTGCGCACAGGACCGTGGAATTCGGTTGTCCCAGCTGATCTGTAATTGGCCCTACGTCAGTCACCATGAGAGACGTATATTGGGGTTCTTCACAGCTATAGGGACTACAAGTTTCGAGACCTTCATATAGTTGCCAACAGTAGAAATCCCATCCTACTCTTCTTCCTCCCTGTTGCTCCAGCACGCCTCCTTCAGAGAGCCACTTCTGACAGCCACATCAAGTCCGCACGACACAGGACGAATCATTCAACAGAGCAACATGCTTGCAGGAGGGGCGGCCAGTTAAGGCAAACGATCCTGTCTTGCAATTACGCTCCATGCAATGATGCTGACACCAGCAAGGGACACTAGGTATCGTGTCTCAGCTTGTCTTATCTTCTTCTTTCTTCTCTCTTCTTTTTTCTCTCTTCTTTCTTCTCTCTTCTTTCTTCTCTCTCTTCTCTTCTTCTTTCTTCTCTCTTCCTCCTCCCATGGGTCTTTGACAAGCGACCTGGGGTCCATTGGGGTCCGTCCGTCCTGGGGTCCATCCTGGGTAGACCGATGTTGGTGGGACAGACTGGAGTCGTTGTTGTTCCTCTTCCATCTTTACTGGGTCGTCTGGGGTCGTCTGCAGAACGACCTGGGGTCCACTGGGTAGACCAATGTTGACCGACCGAGAGGGCTGCATCTTGGGGTCCCCTGGGGTGGTGATGGTGGTGGAGCCATGACCTCCAGGTAGTGGGCTGGTCGTGGTGGTGGTGATAAACGCCCCTGAGTGTGGTACACAGCAGCCGTCTCCCTCTTCTGTATATGCGTCGCGCCTCTCCTCTGGCTCCCACCTGTGGATGAACATAAAGGCGACAATACCCGTGTTCCATGCTGTTGTGTGACCCTGTAGTTTGTATAGGGTTCACACAGTCCAATTATAAGCTCTCCTCCTGGCAACAACTACACTTAAATTTTAATAATCCAATTAACTCTGAATGATATTGACTTGGTGGAACATAAAACAGTAACAGAGTAAAGTTAGAGAAGAGAGAATAAGGGCATCACTACTTTTAACTTGTCACACAAAAAAAAAATCAACACTAATAGACAAACACTAGCCTAAACTTAACTGTACCGTTCCTAATCTTAAGTACATAAACCGCCGTTACTCCCACCCTTAACCTACAGCCACCTACGTGACCCAGAGTGTTTCCCTAGCATCTCCGCCGGTCAACAACTCCAAACTGTTGCCACCCTTGTGACCAGACTATCTAACGTCGAGCGTCCCCAACGTGAAGTCTACTAACATACTAAGGCTCCCCCTAGCATGCTGTACAAGACCAGTACACCTCGGGTTATTGCGTTCAAATGGAGTAAAACAGTCGATCGCAATAATCTGAGCAGAACCACCACTAAATTCTACTTAAGAACTACACCTGCCACTCCCCACTGACCTGGAGACCAGCGGTGGCTGGGTGTCCCCCTGGGACATGCGAGGTCACCTGTCACACTCAGCTGACCTCCACTACCCACCAACCGCTAAGTTCCAAAATCGCCAAATCTTATTACTAACATAAATCACTACACACGCAAGTTCTGGTGAACATTCCCTGAACACCACAAAACTCACAAAATCACTAAACCACAACACCAGAGAATCACAATCTCCTAGCCTGAAAAAAACTCGCTAAATCGCGAAAGTAAAACACCTGTCAAGATCTCCCTGATAGCGCCTGAGCGGCAAAAAGACACGTGGGACTGAACAATGTTAAAAGAACACCAACTACCTACAACATTGCATCCCACCGCTGCCACCATTGTAACGGGGAGAGGGGGAAATAGCTCTATCTTGTCCATTATTCCGCCCCCCAGTTAACTAACGAGGCCGGGGGAAACAGCTCTCTCTAGTCCGTTATCCCGTCCCCAGTTAGCTAACTATTCTAGAGCACCTCCAGAGTTCCTAAGGCAACCTCTCTCGTTCAACACCTTGTAACCTAGGTATTTGACTACCTAGGTGCTAAGACTACAAGGCGCCGTCACTTGATCAGTTACCCGAAACTCTAGAGAGAACTCTAGAATACAAAATCATTGCCACAAACGTATAAGAGAAAACGAGAGGAAAGAAATGAATAGTGAAGTAATTAGTGAGGGTTTGGGGTGAGAGGTAGGGAGGTGGGAGGAGCGAGGAGGGTCATTAGTTGAAAGTGAGAGTTTAGAGAGGGGTGGAGGGAGAGGTGTAGATAGGTAGAAGGAGAAGAGTAGATAGGTAGAAGTAGAAGAGTAGATAGTAGAAGTAGAAGAGTAGATAGTAGAAGACGAAATGCTGCCACCATCCATTCATGATCATTACATACAAGACAAGGAATGGAACTTGCCTGTATCACAAAATTCTCAAAGGATGTTATCATGAGTTCATTATTAGTATGTTCCCTCTGTACCATGTATCAACTCCAAACATGTACTCATTTATATCATGAACCCAGTAACCACAGAGGCTTTCTCAAATCCTCAACTCAAAGCTCTAGGGAACAAAGTTAAACACAATTTAAATAATAAATTCATAATTATATTTCACATGAAGTATCATAATTTAGCAATTCAATTAAAATGTTCCAGTTTAATATGCAAAGTGAGTCATCATCCAAGAATTCGAGAACCCTACAACTTGACTGCCCCTGATCATCACACAACATATGTAAACACGACCAAGTCACCTAAATGTTCACTCACCGAGGACTGAGTCTAAGTTGAATAGAGAGGGGGGGGGGGGGTCTGCAATTTTCAGGCAGCGTCACCCCCCGTCTGGTGACGGCCTATCTCGACGGCTGGCCTCTGCTCTGCTCCGCTGGCCGGTCTCCTATTCCTTTCTGCTCGATAGCTCTCCGAGTTTATATTGGGGAACCTAGTAGCTAACTCCGCCCATAAGTAGATAGCCTCCGGCACTCTACCAAGCCACTCCTTAAACGTCGGCATGTTTGAAGGCTACCCGGCTCCAATTAAGAGCTTAGCGGAAGCAAGGTGAAATTCTCATGATCTGACCTCAGGTCACTTGGGGTCGTTAACGGTTAGAGGTGTGAGATCTCAGGCAGACAACTGGCGCCTCTCCGATCCTTGTCTGTGACTCATGTACTCTATGTATGTATTAACCTAAACCAAACACTTTTACAGTGTTACAATAGATTACACGAAATTGTAAATAACCTAGCTATATATTAATGAAATTTTTATCGGAAACAACTTTTTAATGTGAACAATTCCATTGAATAAATGTTCTTAAAGGGGTCTTAGCGAACCATTTAAGACACAGGAGTAAATTAAAAAATAGACACAATAACTACAACTAAAAAAGCGAGTCAGATCTACGTCAGTTCTTGACATATCTCAAAAGAAAACATTTTACATTTACAGAAAGCGGAGCGTAAACAACATGTCTTCGCTTCTTCACGTAGTAGGAAGAAGCATGTCAGCAGCGAGGGTGTGGCGTCAGGTGTGCCCCATCTTGCAGTGCCTCAGTCAACAACGGGCCACACCTCATCTCAGTCCATTTTCCTCAGCTATGGCAGTGCAGTGCTCCCACCGCCCGCCCAAATTGTAAGATATATTCTTTATTGTCCCATCAATACTAATAGTATTAAGCGTAGAAACGTCTTACATAAGCCTATAAAATTAAAGTCTTTTAAATGTAAAACAACTTTTCCCATCCCCCCTTTATCCCCCTCCTCCCCCCTACCTTTCCCCTCTTCCCATTGTCTCATTAGATATATTATTAGGAAGGACTGAAACAACTATATGGGTCTTTTATCCCCACTTCATCCTCCTCCTTTTCTCATACCACTTTAGTGCCTTCATCCTCCCCTCTCCTACCACACTTTGGTGCCTTCATCCTCCCCTCTCCCACCCCACTTTGGTGCCTTCATCCTCCCCTCTCCCACCCCACTTTGGTGCCTTCATCCTCCCCTCTCCCACCCCACTTTGGTGCCTTCATCCTCCCCTCTCCCACCCCACTTTGGTGCCTTCATCCTCCCCTCTCCCACCCCATTTTGGTGCCTTCATCCTCCCCTCTCCCACCCCACTTTGGTGCCTTCATCCTCCCCTCTCCCACCCCACTTTGGTGCCATCATCCTCCCCTCTCCCACCCCACTTTGGTGCCTTCATCCTCCCCCTCCCCCATCCCACTTTGGTGCCTTCATCCTCCCCTCTCCCACCCCACTTTGGTGCCTTCATCCTCCCCTCTCCCACCCCACTTTGGTGCCTTCATCCTCCCCTCTCCCACCCCACTTTGGTGCCTTCATCCTCCCCTCTCCCACCCCACTTTGGTGCCTTCATCCTCCCCTCTCCCACCCCAGTTTGGTGCCTTCATCCTCCCCCTCCCCCACGCCACTTTGGTGCCCTCATCCTCCCCCTCCCCCTCCCCCTCACCACTTTGGTGCCCTCATCCTCCCCCTTCCCCACACCACTTTGGTCCCCCCTCTTTGTCGGCACCAGCCCACCAGCAGCCAGTAAAGTGCTCCGGTGAGCCCTCCCATTATCACCAGCCCGCCCCTCCCTGGTAAACCCCGCCCATCTTCACCGGCCCGCCCCTCCCTGGTAAACCCCGCCCATCTACACCGGCCCGCCTTCCCTGGTAAACCACGCCTATCTATACCGGCACGCCCCTCCCTGGTAAACCCCGCCCATCTACACCAGCCCGCCCCTCCCTGGTAAACCCCGCCCATCTACACAGGCCCGTCTCTCCCTGGTAAACCCCGCCCATCTACACCGGCCCGCCCCTCCCTGGTTAACCCCGCCCATCTACACCAGCCCGCCCCTCCCTGGTAAACCCCGCCCATCTTCACCGGCCCGCCCCTCCCTGGTAAACCCCGCCCATCTACACCGGCCCGCCTTCCCTGGAAACCCCGCCCATCTACACCGGCCCGCCCCTCCCTGGTAAACCCCGCCCATCTACACCAGCCCGCCCCTCCCTGGTAAACCCCGCCCATCTACACAGGCCCGTCTCTCCCTGGTAAACCCCGCCCATCTACACCCGCCCGCCCCTCCCTGGTAAACCCCGCCCATCTACACCCGCCCGCCCCTCCCTGGTAAACCCCGCCCATCTACACCAGCCCGCCCCTCCCTGGTAAACCACGCCCATCTATACCGGCACGCCCCTCCCTGGTAAATCCTGTCCATCTACACCGGCCCGCCCCTCCCTGGTAAACCCCGCCCATCTACACCAGCCCGCCCCTCCCTGGTAAACCACGCCCATCTGCACAGGCCCGCCCCTCTCTGGTAAACCCCGCCCATCTACACCAGCCCGCCCCTCTCTAGTAAACCCTGCCCATCTACACCGGTCCGCCCCTCACTGGTAAATCCCGCCCATCTACACCGGCCGCCCCTCCCTGGTAAACCCCGCCCATCTTCACCGGCCCGCCCCTCCCTGGTAAACCCCGCCCATCTACACCAGCCCGCCCCTCCCTGGTAAACCACGCCCATCTGCACAGGCCCGCCCCTCTCTGGTAAACCCCGCCCATCTACACCAGCCCGCCCCTCTCTAGTAAACCCTGCCCATCTACACCGGTCCGCCCCTCACTGGTAAATCCCGCCCATCTACACCGGCCGCCCCTCACTGGTAAACCCCGCCCATCTACACCGGCCCGCCCTTCCCTTGTAAACCCCGCCTATCTTCACCGGCCCGCCCTCCCTGGTAAACCCCACCCCTCCCTGGTAAACCCCGCCCATCTACACCTGCCCGCCCCTCCCTGGTAAACCCCGCCCATCTACCCCGGCCCGCCTTCCCTGGTAAACCACGCCCATCTATACCGGCACGCCCCTCCCTGGTAAACCCCGCCCATCTACACCGGCCCGCCCCTCCCTGGTAAACCCCGCCCATCTTCACCGGCACGCCCCTCCCTGATAAACCCGCCCATCTACACCGGCCCGCCCCTTCCTGATAAACCCCGCCCATCTTCACCGGTCCGTCCCTCCCTGGTAAACCAAGCCCATCTACACCGGTCCGCCCCCCCCTGGTAAACCCCGCCCATCTACACCAGCCCGCCCCTCCCTGGTAAACCCCGCCCATCTACACAGGCCCGCCCCTCCCTGGTAAACCCCGCCCATCCACACCAGCCCGCCCCTCCCGGGTAAACCCCGCCCATCTACACCGGCCCGCCCCTCCCTGGTAAACCCCGCCCATCTTCACCGGCAAGCCCCTCCCTGGTAAACCCCGCCCATCTTCACCTGTCCGCCCCTCCCTGGTAAACCCCGCCCATCTACACCGGCCCGCCCTTCCCTGGTAAACCCGCCCATCTTCACCGGCCCGTCCCTCCCTGGTAAACCCCGCCCATCCACACCAGCCCGCCCCTCCCTGGTAAACCCCGCCCATCCACACCAGCCCGCCCCTCCCTGGTAAACCCCGCCCATCTACACCAGCCCGCCCCTCACTGGTAAACCCCGCCCATCTACACCGGCCCGCCCCTCACTGGTAAACCCCGCCCATCTTCACCGGCCCGCCCTTCCCTGGTAAACCCCGCCTATCTTCACCGGCCCGCCCTCCCTGGTAAACCCCGCCCCTCACTGGTAAACCCCGCCCCTCCCTGGTAAACCCCGCCCATCTACACCTGCCCGCCCCTCCCTGGTAAACCCCGCCCATCTATACCGGCACGCCCCTCCCAGGTAAACCCCGCTCATCTACACCGGCCCAACCCCTTCCTGGTAAACCCCGCCCATCTTCACCGGCCCGCCCCTCCCTGGTAAACCCCGCCCATCTTCACCGGCCCGCCCCTTCCTGGTAAACCCCGCCCATCTACACCGGCCCGCCCCTCCCTGGTAAACCCCGCCCATCTACACCGGCCCGCCTTCCCTGGTAAACCACGCCCATCTATACCGGCACGCCCCTCCCTGGTAAACCCCGCACATCTACACCGGCCCGCCCCTCCCTGGTAAACCCCGCCCATCTACACTGGCCCGCCCCTTCCTGGTAAACTCCGTCCATCTTCACCGGCTCGACCCTCCCTGGTAAACCCCGCCCATCTACACCGGCCCGCCCTTCCCTGGTAAGCCCCGCCCATCTTCACCGGCCCGCCCTCACTGTTAAACCCCGCCCTCCCTGGTAAACCCCGCCCGTCTACACCTGCCCGCCCCTCCCTGGTAAACCCCGCCCATCTACACCGGCCCGCCTTGCCTGGTAAACCTCGCCCATCTACACCGGCCCGCCCTCCTTGGTAAACCCCACTCATCTACACCGGGCCGCCCCTCCCTGGTAAACCCCGCCCATCTTCACCGGCCCGCCCTCCCTGGTAAACCCCACCCATCTACACCTGCCCGCCCCTCCCTGGTAAATCCCGCCCATCTACACCGGCTCGCCTTCCCTGGTAAACCCCGCCCATCTACACCAGCCCGCCCCCTCCCCGGTAAACCCCGCCCATCTACACCGGCCCGCCCCTCCATGGTAAACCCTGCCCATCTTCATCGGTCCGCCCTCCCTGGTAAACCCCGCCCATCTACACCGGCCCGCCTTCCCTGGTAAACCCCGCCCATCTCAACATCCAGATGAATGGACAGATAAATGAATAGATAGAAGGATGGATACACTGATGATTGGATAGATGGGCAGATAAATGGATAGATTCATGTATATATTGATAGATGGATGGATAGATAGATGGATTAATAGATGGACGGATGGATAGATAGGGAGGTGGGTGGATAGTCAGAAAGATAGATAGATAGATAGATAGATATATACTGATGAATAGATAGAATGGTAAAATATAGACCGTCTCCATGGCGATTTGGTTTGAGGAGGAGGAGATTCCAAAGCACTAGAACCCGTTCTTCACTGCTTCCTGGGCCTGTTCTGGTGTTTCGAAGGTCATCTTCATCGTGGGTCGAGTGGCGTCGTTTGTCTTAAGAAAAGCTGTCGTTGCTTTCAGAGTAGGGTTTTCTTCGTTCACTTGCCGCACTATGGTGTCGGCATCCGCTAACCAGCGGTTCAGCCTGTCCAGAAATATCGTCTTCCCGGCTGTGATTTGTCTGGGAGGAATCAGTGACAGGTTCGCCTCCAATAGTGAGGCCCGGCGTTCTGTATCCAGGACCTAGATTCACGTAGCTCCATGTATTTCTTCGTAAGTGGGTTTGCTAAGTGTGCCCTAAAAAGATGCTTAGGTGCGATTCACGTAGGTCCACTTAGGAAGATATTTGGGTTTTGGGTTTGGTTCACCTGCGTGCCGATAGGGGTCACTACTGTGTTTCGTTTGGCCAATCAGAGAGCAGCAACATTCTTCATATTGAAGATTTAGTGCTGGCTTATCGGAGCTCTACTGCCTCCTATTTATGTCGAATTTTCTTATAAAATTAGTATATTTCGAAGTAAAACTGTTTTTTCAACTTCTACAGCAGGCACCGACATTGTAGTAAACAAATATGTTACATTTGTTGTTTACCTACGTAATTCTAAAAGATACTGTGTAGCTGTCCTTGTTGTTCGGAAGATGCGCTGACAATTATTGTATATATTTACTGAATTTACCCAACGGCGACTAACTATCTAGTGGCCTCGACGAAGACAGAAAGCCGGCGGCTTGTTAAAGGGCCTGCTAATTGTCTTAATGATA